TGACGTGTTCAATACCTATTTTACCTGCTGTATGATGTTCCTTCATGTTATGGAAGGACCCTCTTGATTCAAGAGAAAACTCCACTTTTTTAAGAAAATGGCTGCTTATCAATTAATCGTTAGGCAGTCTATAAGATAAATCAACTTCAGATTAATTAATTAATCAACAACTTGCATCCTTAATTTATACAGGAATGAAATTAATTTATATCTACTAATATTTATGTAATTAAGCGTTTTAATGATTTGGCTGATTAATCGATTAATCAAAAAAATAATTGACAGATTAATTGATTATTAAAATAATCGTTAGTTGCAGCCCTAGTATTTGAGCTGTTTGGTGTCATTGTAATTAGTTAGTTGTAATTTTTTTTATTTGTAATTAACGTTGACGTATCATGTTTAACTTTGACTAAACAGGAAATATCACGTTCCTCATCTCATTGCTACAGCCAAGCATAACAAACAATAACTGAGCTCTACGTGGTATTTTGTATTTTAAAACAGCGTTTTAACATCCTTTTATAAACACTGAAAAGTACCACATGTACATCTGACTAAATRTGAAATAAATTCAACAGGAACACAACTGAAAGTAAAAGTAAGAGTTTTACTCACTGTTGAGCTGCTGTTAGTAGCTGCTGTCTTGAATTCTGAACTCTCCCACTTTCTAACAGGGAATTCCCATTCATATTCRACATGCATTATGGGAGATGTAGTTTATGGTCAACGCTGGCTTTAAATCAGCTTTTTGTGAGACATTAATACAGAGCTATTCAACTAAATGTTTCAGGGGCACAGTTATTCAAAGCCAACAGGTCAGGGGCCAGACAAGCATTATTATCTTTCACCGTTTGAATTTGTTTATTTTGTTTCCTTGTTTCATAAATTAAAAGGTTACCATCAATATAAAATCTATTTTTATATTAAAATAATAATTAAAAAATGCTCACTGGCAGGCCTGATGGAAGTCATCCATGGGCCTTCAATTTGACATTTGTGATTGACACAAAACACATCAATCATTTACTCTGACACTGAAACATTTTAAATCCAGATCTTAGATTGAAAAATTTTGGAGATGCCCAACATCAGTGTGAAAACACACGTGTTAACAGACGGCTGCAGTCAATAGTTTTTCTGTGCTTGCACGAGTAGCTGAACAACAGTAACAATTGCAAACAGCAGAGTTMTGTTTGTGCTGCCTTTTTAAAATCTATTCAAGCTTCTAATTTGAAACTTACAGTATAACAGACTATAACASCTCCTGTTACAGTTATCAACCAAACCAATGTCCATGTACTCTCCATTTTGGGTGTTTTTAAAGTTTAGATGGAAGAAAAAAAGTTGTATAGGTCTTCTGGACGGGTTCTTCTCTAATGAAACGTTTCGTCTCTCCTCTAAGAGCCTTCTTCAGTCTGAGAGTTTCAGGCAAAATTCAGGCTTTTAAGCCCTGCCTCCATGTGACTGATGCATCACATGGCTATCATTGACACCTAATTAACACCTATTGTTAACAGGGGGTGGAGTGATACTGGCAATAGCAGTGCTGTAGGAGAGGGACAACTGAAAACGGAGGCCTCCACCTCTGTTTAAAGATGGACAGTCTTTCTTCACAAAAATGGCTTCTTTTGAGAGAGGAGTAAAAGAAGCCATTTTTGTGAAGAAAGACCGTCCATCATTGAACAGAGGTGGAGGCCTCCGTTTTCAGTTGTCCCCCTCCTACAGCACTGCTATTGCCAGCATCACTCCACCCACTGTTAACAATAGGTGTTAATTAGGTGTCAATGATAGCCATGTGATGTATCAGTCACATGGAGGCAGGGCTTAAAAGCCTGAATTTTGCCTGAAACTCTCAGACTGAAGATGTCTCTTGGAGGAGAGATGAAACGTTTCAT